GGGAGAGGGCGAGGATGCCACACCTGGAGGGGGGCGGAGCACGCCCAGGGGCCGCCCCAAGAAGCGGGACCACCGGAGGGGAGGAGCCTCCCGCCCCCGTCCGTGCTTCCGGAGGAGAGCCGGGCCCTCGAGACCAGCGCCCCCGCGTCTCGCACGGGCGCACGAATGCGCCGGGCGGGCTGGGCACGATGGCCAATTCGTTGGCACCACATGCACGCCCGGCCGGACACCCGCACGGGGAACGTGGGTCGGGCTGAATATTTTTTTCTCGATCCGTCCCGACCCCCCGCCCCCGAACTCCTGGGCAGCTGTCATCCCGATCCCCCCCCTCCCCCCCCCCTCCCCCGCCGCCTTTCACCCCGGTCAAACCCGCTTCCCGCCCCTCTCTCCATCTCTCTTTGCCCCCTCCCCCCGCTCCCCCTCGCCCTCCCCTTTACTCCTGTCATGTCGATCTGGTCCTGGCTATTGCCGGAGGAGAAGAAGGCCGACGACCCTGTGGCCGGTCTGCGGAGCGCGCCGCCCAGTCCACCGGATGCTAACTCGGGGCGTCGGTCGGCGGCGCTTGCGGCCGCGGCCGCAAGCGCCTCGGCCGCCGCGTCGCAGACCCCCAGCGCCGGTGGCGGCACGTTGGCCGGCGGCTCCGGCGCGCCAGTCGTCCCTCCGGATGGCGGGGACTTCGTCTCGCGCGCCGAGTACGAGCGCCTCCTGCACAAGGTGGAGACCTTCGAGCTACAGACCAAGATGCTGGCCGTCGGGTTGACGGTGTACATGCTTGTGCGGCTCACGCGCGGCCGGCGGAACAACATCTCCAAGCAGGTCATGGCCGAGCGCTTTGTCCTGGTGGACAAGGCCCAGGTGGGCAAGATGAATGTGCGCTCGATCTCCCCCTGTCCCCTGACCCTCCTCCCCGCGCCTTGGTCTCCTCCTCCGCGCCATGGCATCTGACCTCCTGCTGTTTTGGGCCCCTCCCGCCGCCCGGTGTCTCCGGCTGGACATGCATGCGCAGGCCCTCGCCGAGCTGGCTCTCGATGACTCCGGGAAGGCCGTGCTCCGGATGCGCGATGGATCGATCGTCCTCCTGGACAAGGAGTTGTGCGTGACCTCCCCTCTCCCCCCCCCCCCCC